TTTTTTTTCAACGTTTATTTTTGGGACAGAGAGAGACAGAGCATGGATGGGGGAGGGGCAGAGAGGGAGGGAGACACAGAATCGGAAACAGGCTCCAGGCTCTGAGCCATCAGCCCAGAGCCCGACGCGGGGCTCGAACTCACGGACCGCGAGATCGTGACCTGGCTGAAGTCGGATGCTTCACCGACTGCGCCACCCAGGCGCCCCCTGTTCGCTTCTTTAATTGCTGGTTCCCCCAAATGTTTTATGCAGAGAAGGAGGGAAAATTTATAGCGGCCATGACCTTCTCACAGTCTGGGGGGCACGCGATTAGAAGCGAGAGACCACGCAACCCCAGCTCCCTGGGAGCTCCGTCCCCGGCCTGAAGACAGCAGAGGCTCTGGGCAGGAAACTTAGTATGTTAGCATTTCAGCCTGTGCCCCTGCGGTGGGTGTAATAGCTCTCAAATAAATTTTTCTGCGTGAAAACAGGAGGAATTCAAGTTGGTGAGCTGAGTGGTGGGTGGGGCAACCTTGCTTTTGGACTCTGGCCCAGTCCCCCCACGCCCAAGGCTTCTCAGCTCTTGATTTGACCTGTGCTTTCCTTCCGGTCCTGCCCCCTCTTCGGGGGTGGGGAGGATGGCAGGGCTGTGCGCCCCAGCCTTCCATGGGCGCCCCCTTCCCCTCCCCCGCCCCCCGGGGCTCTCCTTGAAGCGCGGGACGGGGCTCTGCCCATCGCCCATCACACCGGTAGAGCCCGGGGCGCGCTTGGGATCTGAGGGCCCTCCTCCCCACGGCGCCCCCAGCCCCGTGCCCTCTCCCGCTCGCACTTGGCTGGCCACAGCTGCTGCTCGGCACCACGTTGGGCCCGGCCAGGCGCCGGTGTGGGGTAGCCTCTGCTCACGGGGAAGGGGCCCCGGTGGCGGTCTCCCCCGGAATGTGCTCGAAACGTTACAAGCATTACCGCAGCGGGGACAAGGCGAGGCTCCAGGGGTACGCGTGAGCCCTGCCTCCGGCTTCTTCTGGGTCGGGTCGGGAAAGGAGTGCGGAGGGCTGGGGCTCTGCCGTCTGGCCCAGAAAGGTGTTCGGACCCCCCTCCCGGGCCGCGGGGCTCCTCCCGGCCCTCCACCCTCTGCGCCCCGCCCGGGAGCTGCCAAATCAAAAAGCGTCGTCCTGGTTTGAAGAAAGAAATCTTTATTAATAATCTTAATAATAATACTGTTGATTTGAATGGTCACACCTTGGAAGCATACAGAATGGTAAGAAAGGAAGCCTGGGGCTCGGCTGCAGTCCTGGGGGGCCGGGAGGGCGGGGCCGGGGGCGGAGCTGCCGCAAGAAGAGGGGGCTCTGGACGGGAGGGGCGGGGCGGGGCTCTGTACAACAGGAATAGAAAAGGGGCTCACTTCAGGAGCTGATGCTGAATATATAAAGTGAGGTGGTTTTTTTTTTTTTTTGTTTTTTTTAATTTTTACGTTTCATGAGACAGTGGAGCCATGTTGGGAGCCTATGTTTGTTATTTTTTGCTGTTCCCTACTCCAGCTATCCCTGCCTGGCCAGGGCCTCCTCCCTGCTGCCCACCGTCTGCTCTCCGGGCACCCCTCTGGGCCTTTCCCCACCCCTCGCTCTCCCTGCTCTGGCCTGGCCGTCCGGTCCCACGGCACCCTGACTCCGGACCTCACCATGCTGCACTGGCCGGCCGCCCGCCCTCTGCTCCCCTGCAGGGCAGCGGTGAGGAGGGTTCGGTCCAGCAGGCGGCATGAGGCCTGCCTTCCCTCCCACAGACCAGGCCCAGGGCCGCCTCCAGAAAAGGAACAGGAACTGGCCAGAGCCAGAGCGTGTCCTCAGCCCCGAGGCCCTTACCCTCCCGATGCTCTTAGGTAAGGGGAATGATCCTGTCCAGGCTGCCCGGGAGCCCCCTCACCGGACTGGGGGGCCTGGGCGCCCCACAGTTCTGGAACCATGTCAGCCCTTCCTTGGTGTTGGGGTCGGGCCCCAGGGCTGCTGGTCGGACCGGCTCTGGTGGCCTGCAAACGCCTTCGCTGGGATGTGGGCACTGGCGGCATGGCAGAGTGGGTGAGCTGGGGCCTAGACAGCCGGACGTGAGGGTGACGGGCACGGGCTGGAGCCAGAGACCCCGGGAATGAGTGGCCGCCCCCCGCGCCCAGCCCAGCCGTCCCCTCCACCGGCACGGTCGGCAACAAGGTCAGGTCCCGCTGGCTGCTCTCCCCTGCGCGGGCCTGTGGCCCGTTCCTCCGCTGGGCCCCACGTGCCCTGGGAGTGGGGCGCCGGAAAGGAAGACTTGGTAGAAAACAAGGCCCCTTCCCCTCCTGCCCTCCCCATCCCACCAGCGCCGTGGCCGGGGAGGGGCGGGGGCCCGGGCGCTCTCCTGGGCGCGGTGCCCGCCGGACGTGCTCCCTCGCTGCGATGTGCGCTGCCACGCGCGACTCGGACGTGGTGGATGCTTCTTGGTTTGGTTGGTTTTGTTGCTGCTTGGATCTTAACATCTTTTTTTGTTTTGTTTTTTGTTTTGTGATTTTTTTTGTTTTTTTTTTGTTTTGTTTTGTTTTTGTTTTTTGTTTTTGCCCTTCATGGTCCAAGAAGGAAACGGTGGAAGCTTTCACTACAACAGAAACAGAAAGGACTTGCAGTTTCACAGAAGCAACTGCCAGGCGTGCGGTGAGGACGGGACCAGCCCCAGCGGCCCGCACAGGGCGCAGGGCGGGCGGACGGGTGCCAGGCGCAGGGCCCCAAGGTCCTAGCGCCTCCCCCCCTGCTGCAGCCTGTCTCCGCCCCCCCCCCCCCCCCCCCAGCTTCCAGGAACCCATCATCCTCCGTGAGCTGACTTTAAAGCAGACCTCATTCTCCAGGGCAGAGAGTATGGGCTGGCAGTGGGAAGAAGCAGAGGTGGGGGGGGGGGTGCGGCAGGAGCAGAGAGCCCAGTGAAGCTGGCTGGCACGCGCAGCCTGCGGGCTCTGCTAGGGCTGAGCTGGGCAGGGGGGGGCCCGGCTGGCTCCGGCTGGCTGAAGACAGAGGGCGTGGTGGGTGGACGGCACAGCACAGGCCACGAAGGGCCCGGACCCAGGCGGCTGAGAAGGAGGGGCTCTGGGCAGTGGGAAGAGAGGGCCCGGCACCCAGGACACGATCCGGCCACTCCACCAGCCGGGACCCGGTGTGCCCTGGCTGGCGGGGAACCCACACCCGCTGGCTGGCCGCGCCCGGAAGCCCAACTCTGGCGCGCCAGGGCACCTGGGATTCCCCGGCCCCGAGACACTTTCTCCTGTAACGGAGGCAGGTCCTGACCGCGCAGCCTCCTCCAGAAGCTACCGGGGCTGTCTGAGGATTACCGGCGGCCCCAGCCAGGCTCTCCTCCCCGGACCCCGCACGGTCCTGGGACCTTTCTACAGGGGAGGCTGGTACCGAGTGCTGTTCTGCCAGGAAGGCCCGCGATGGGGCTCCCCCTGCTCCCGACCTGCTCCCCCCTCCTGAAATGGACCCTGGCAAAAAGAGGTCTCCAAGCCCGGGGGAGGGGAAGGGTGCCGTAGCCCGAATACCAACACAGGTGCCGGGCTGGCCGGGACCCCAAGTCCAGCAGGGCCAAGGTGCCATCCCCGGGGCCTGGCGGAGCGGGGTGGGGGCTGGGAGAGCCTGCAGCCAGAAGTCACCGCGGGCGGGCTGAGGGCGACCCCTGGGGCCCTGCGGGGCGATGGCTTTGTGCGTGCGTGCGTGGGGGGTGGCGGGGTGCAGGGGAATTTCTTCCTGGCTTTTCCTTTCTTACAACAGAGGCTCAGCAGCCCCGAGGCTGGTGTGGCCACGGCAGTTTCCGCCTTGCACACGTGTGCTTGTGACTGCTTTGGCAGGAAACGTCAATAAACTTCAATCAGAAATGTTAGTTTCAGCCGGATGGGGGTGGGGAGGGCAGAGACGGCTACTCCTGTGACTAGGTGAAGGTGGGAAGGGGGCACCGTCCCCGCGTCCCTCCCTGAACCCCAGGGGAGGGGCAGTGGCTGTGGCCCCCCGCTGGCCGCTGGGGGGGGGGGGGGGGCGGGGGGGTTCTCTCCTGTGGCTCCACAGACCCCGGGGGATGATGGGGAGTGGGTGTCGCCCTGGCGGGCTCTACTGCCAGCTCTCGGGGAGGGGGAGGGGGTCTCGTGCCCAGCCTGGCCCCTCCCACTGTGTGCATACCATACCTGAAATGGCTTGGGGGTCACAACGTCAACAAAGTCAAAATAAGAAGCAAGGTTTCAGACACACAGGGGTAACCAGGGTCCAAGACACACACGCCATGGTGAGGGGCAGGGACGCCAGCTGGCTGGAGGAAAACCCTATGGACTTTAGCGTCGCGTGCCGCTGACTGGGGGGGGCGCACTGCCCTCCCGGTGGCTGTGCCTGGTTTTGGCCTGCTGGGTGTGGTGTGTACTGGGCAGTCAGTGTGAATGCTGCTAGGGGCTGGGCCCTCTTGCTAGTAGGGGGTGAAGCGGCTGTACCCTCCTCGGCAGAGGCTAGCCTGCAACATCAAAGATGACAAACAGCCAATCAGTACCGCCTTGTGGTAGGGGGGGAAAAAGCAAAAAGAAAAAAAAAATAAGGAAAACCAAAAAGCAATCGCTAAGTCCCATGTTTTAAGGCTGGCCTTGGGGAGAGCGGGTACCAGTTACCATGGCAGCGGGCGGCGGCGGGGGAGGGGGGGGCGGGCCCTGGGCCTCGTTCTGTCGTGGTGGTGGCCTGGGGGCCAGGAGGCTGCTGGGGTCATCAGCCCCGGCACTCCGGGACAAGGAGGTTTGAGAAGTCTCTTGACGACTCTCTAGGCTCGGGCCTGGCCCTCCCGGGGCCCCTCTCTCTTTAATGGGTCGGGGGAGGTCTGAGCGAGGGCCCCACCTCCTCAGAGCCCCTTGGGGGCTCTGGCGGGTGGACGGACTTCCTCTGTCAGGGTTCCCCAGGCCTCGGCTCCACCAGGAGAGGCTGTGGCTGCTCGCCCAGCTCCTCCGAGCTTTAGGGGGTCCCTGGGGTCCCTCCTCTTCCGCCAGGGCCTCGCTTGGGCCTGGCCCTGCATCCGGCTGAGGAGGACGGGTCCTGGATGCTCCGGCTCCTGTGTCCCTGGGCTGCGCTGGGTCAGGGAGGTCTCCGCAGGAACCTCCTCCCCACCAACCAATTTCAACAGGAAATGGGAGCGGCAAGTGCCAGAGGGGAAAAAAAGAAAATCTTACAAGCAAAAATGAGAACATAATTGGGGCCCCTCTGTGAATCAATGAAAACTTTTAGCCAGCAGCTGCATGGTGGGGGGCGCCCTGAGCTGAGCCTGGAGCCGAGGGACCCGCAGAGCGCACTTTTGGGGCCTCTGTCCGGGGAGGGGCCGGCCCCCAAGAGGCCTGCTGCTGCCCCCTGTGGCTGCTAGCTGTCACTGCAGGCTGCCTGGGATGCCGGGAACTTGTCAAAAAAATCAAAGACAGAACAAAAACGGGGAGGGAGTAATCAAGACCAAGGGAGATGGAACAACGTATCCGTACTGGCTCCGAACCTCCTCCCTCCTTACCCCCCGAAAAACGTGTTCATCTTTGATGCTGGATGCCAAGCTAGCTAAAAACCGACATCAACACCCCCCAGGGCCGGGGGTGGATGGGCACAGGAGGCAGGTGACCACTGGAAGCAGGTTTCGGGGTACAGAGTGAGCTGGGCTGCATGTGTCGACAGCTGGCCATACACACACACACACACAGACACACTGGCCTGCACACCTCTGGTGCCGAGAGCCGGCCGGGAGTGTGTGGGGGGAGTGGGTGCCGGGAGAGCGCTGGCCCCAGGGCCGCCGACGGGTCTGGGTGGGAAGTGGGGGGCAGCCCCTGTCCCTCTCCTTGACGTGAGGAAAAGCGCAGTGACAGGACACAGGGGGACGGTGGTGGACACCCCCCCACGAGCCTCTGGAGCCTCAGAAGACTGGGCAGAGTGGGCGGACCAGGATGCTCCCCAGAGGGCCAGACGTCCTCACTGGACCTGCCTCCCTCGAAGTCCCCCGGGGGCCCAGAGGGGCAAGTTCTCCCCCAGACTCCCAATCCAGGCCTTGGTCCTCCCAGGCGCCGGTCAGAGGTCTGGGTCATTGTCCTCAGGGCCTGCCCACCCCAGCCTCGTCAACGGCCAGCGCGTAAGGCCAGGCGGCGCCCCCCGCTCCTTACCATGGTTCCGATGCTGTAGGTCGCTGGGGGGCCGATGGTGTGGTGGTAGGGGTCGGTGGCCGCGTAGACTCTGCCGTAACTGGGGGGAGAGGGAGGTGTGGGGGGGCGATGGGGGCAGGTGAGGGGTGGCAACGGGCCCCCCACCTCCTCCAGTGTGGTCCCGCCCACCAGGCCCCCCCTCCCTCCTGGCCATCCTTTCTGCCTGTTGAGAAGGAAGCGTCTGGAACACAGCTGGCCACCCTCCTCTCAGCTCTTCCAGCGTGTGCTGGCCCTGACGAGGGGCAGGCTGTTCTACCAGGGACCTCGTGGAAGGAAATGGGAGTCCTCACAGAGCTGGGGTGGAGGGAAGAGAAACCTCGATCCCCAGAAAGAATGAGGGCAGAGTGCTCAGAGCAGGGAGGGGGGACAGGGGGGGACATGGCCCTGTGTCCCCCTGATGGCCTTCCTCTCAACTTAATTCTGTGTGTGCAATGCCACCTTCTTGTAGGACAGGGCTGGGCCGGAGGGCCTGCTGCGCTACCGGACAAAACCCACACGTGAGATGCAGCGAGAAGCTTCGAGAAAGGTGCGGGTCCCTGGGTGCCACCAGGAGGGACAGTCAGGTGGTCCCCAGGCCGGCCGGCACCCACCACGTGCATGCCAGGCTCCCCTAAGCAGGAACTCTGTGCCCAATGGGCCAAGCGCCCATGTGCTAGGCTAGGCCACCCCTGGGGGACCTGCCTCCAAACACAGAGCCACCCCCCAGCCCCTGGGTGTGCCCACCACTGGGCAGAGGGCCGGCTGCTCTCAGATGGCCACACTGCCCACCTGGTCTCGCCATGGCCCCTGGGAGCCCAAGCTGCTGCCTTTCCTTCTCCGAGCTAAAGGGCCTCAGACCCTGAAGCCCCGAGAAGGATCGGAGGCGCGCCCACAGGCAGAAACACAGCCTCCTGAGTACCCTTCCCACTCCGGGGCCTCCAGGGCAGGAAGGGACTGAAGAAACTGGGGTGGGGGTGGGGGGGCGCTGGCTCAGGGGTCTCGGACTTGCTCTCCTCTGTCCAGATTCTGTGCCGCCGCCAGGGGGAGCTGCCCCAGGCCCAAGCAGTAGTGAAGTCTGTCTGAGCCCAGCCCTGCAGGGACCCTGTTACCCCATCGTCTGTCTTTATCCCGACCACGGCCCCAGCCATACCTGTCGCTATAGGCCGCGGCTGCTGCTGCAGGCTGAGCGTATCTGTAGGCTGCATAGCCCCCCTGCAGGGTAAGGAGGAGGGAGAGATGGCACAGAGGCTTAGCGGGGCTGACGTGGCCTGTCAACCTTCCCCTTTCAGCCAGGTGAGGACTGGCTGGTGGGTGCGGGCCTGGGGGCACCTCGCTTCTGGCCTAATGGAGACCTAAGGACCACAGATTATCAAGTGGGCCGGGCTGAGGTGAGGCAGGGGTGTCTGTTCACTTCCCCATTCAACACACTGGTGGGTACCAATTACGTGTCTGCCTGTGTTCGTGGCCCTGCCACATGTTAAGTGCCCACAGACCTGCCAGCAGTCCAGTGGGCCCCTGATTTTGATGCCCGTGGGCGTGGAGAACCCATGGGTGACTGGGTGCCATCCTAGATACTGGGAAAGGTCAAGGGCAAACCCGGATCACATCTCGGCCCTGGCACAAAGGGACTGTTGGATTATGGGCAAATGCCCAAGATGGAAGCAAGGTCTCGTGTTGGGCTGGGTAGGTGCGTGAGAAGGGGTTGTCAGCTGGGGCTCTGGGCTAGAGGAAGCAGCAGGGGCAGCCCCACGAAGGGAGAGAGAAGCCACAGGAACCCACCAAGGGGTCTGCCCTCGAGCCCCTGCCTCCTGGTCTCTCTCTGGGCCTCTGTACGGGACATGGGGTACCCACCGGGGCTCACTTGGTGACCCCAATGCAGTTAGGGATACGGGAGAGTCGCCCCTGCCCCCATCACCCAAACGCCCTGGGGACTGGAGAAGACATGAGCACAGACAGCCCAGGCTCCGCTGTGCCGAGGTCCCCAGGGACCCACTGCCCTGGCACTCTCACCCTCTGGGGTTCTGAGGACGAAGTGGGATGGGGTGGGGGAGGGGAAGACCCTGGAAATCAGCTGAAGGCCTGGACAAGCCCCACCCCGCCCTCCCCTCTGGACCGCACTTACATAAATCTCAGCACCATAAAAGCCGTCCTGATACACGACCCTGGAAGCAAACGGACAAGAGAGTGGTGGGCAGGCCGGCTCCGGCGTCTGCTGAGGAGGGAGGGGGCAGGGTGCCAGCCCTGCCCATGGGACTGGCATTTTAACAAGCGTTTGCTCCAGTGCCCTGTTTTGGTATAACAATAGAGTAACACCCTTGCTGGTCAGTTCCTCTCTCCCACTAAGCCAGGGGCCCCGCGGCCCCTGTTGCTTACCCTCCCCCCACCCCAGCCCAGGCAGCTGTCCCCCCATCCAGGCAGAGGGCACTGGGCCCCGGGGAAATGGTCCAGGGAGGGCTTCGAGCAGGCCCTCGCTGAGCTCAAGGGCCAACCACCATCCCATTAAATCAGCTGGCAAGGTGCCGGGGCTCTAAATGTCCCCCAAATGCCAGTGAGCCTTGGCGCCCGTGGCAGGATCGGGTTGGGGTACTGATATGGAGGCGACTGCAGTGCAAAGGTCTGGGGGTTCCCGACACCCCCTCCCCCCCACCTTCCCGCAGTTCTGGAAAGGCTGCTTAGCCCCTCCGGCTGCCCAGGGCCTCCCCCCCCCACCCTCCACGCGCCCTGGGCTTCCCCCATGCCTCCCTCCCAAGTGCCTCCCCAGGTACTCACGCTCCATAAGTTGGGATGGGGGGCGGGGGCGGCGCAGCCCGAAACGTATTATACACGGCCCGGCCCCGACCCCGTAGGTGCGCGCCCCTGTAGGCTACGGCCGTGCCCGTGGTGGGGTAGGGGAACCCCGTCACTGCAGGAAAGGGGGCCAGAGAAGAGGCGGTGAGAGGGAAAGCCTGAGGCCAGGTCGAAACAACCCGGCCAGTGCGCAGCCACAGCTAGCCCGGCACCGCCCAACCACGCCCGCACGGCCACGCCCCTGCCTGGCCACACCCACCCGCCGGCCACACCCCCACCGGCCCGGCTCCGCCCAGAGTGACCGCTCCAGCCTGTACCTGCATAGAATTCAGGCCCATAGACTGCGCCCACCACGGGGTTTAGCTTCCAGCCTAGAAGAGAAGCAAAGAAACCCAGTCACCGTTTCCCCCGTTCTCTCCCCTCCTCACACTATCCTGGGACCCTCCCACCTTAGGCGTGGCCTCTGCAGCCCGGCGGGAGGCCGGCCCACCTCCCTCCGCGGTCAGGGCGGGGAGAGGAGACCCCGGGCCCCTCTTGGGGATGTTGCAGGCTCACCGGCTCTGACCTTCTGGTCCCTAGATAACAGGGACCAAGTCTCTCCCGACCCCCCTGCCTGGGTGTCCTCCTGATTGTTTTCAAGTTGTGGCCCGCCCCAGCCCGCCCCTGGGACTGCCCTGCGTAGGGGGGCGGGGCACCAGCTCCGGCAGCTTGGAGTCTGCAGTCCCTGCGGGAGAGAACTAGGAAGGGAAACTGGAACACTTCTGTAAACTTCTGCGGGCCCACAGCTGGGGCGAGGGGTCCGGCCCACCTGCGCTTCGGCACATGATGGGGCCCAGTCACGGGAGCGCGGTCTCCGGTGGGGGCCGGGCTGCCTTCCAGGAGGGCCAGAGGCTGCCGTGAGGGGGCGTGGCTTCTGCCACGGCCTCCCGCCACCTCCTGTCCCAAAGCCCCTGTCCTGGGGTGGAGCTCTCCGTCCCCACGGCTGAGTCCCGCCCCGACCGTCCTGGGTCTGTCTTTCCCCGGAGCAGCCAGGGGAAGGGCTTCCTGAGGAGGAAGGGCCTCTGGACTAAGAAGGACAACTAACATTTCCGGAGCACCTCACCGCGCGCCACACTGTTCTAAACCCACCCAAGTGTCACACCCTCGCATTTTACAGACGAGCTAGCGGAGGCTCGGGGAGGAGGGAAGGGCAGCCTCACGTCCCAGAGCCGGGGGGAGTGGCGGAGCCAGATCCAGACCCAGCCCACATTCCTGGCCGTTCCCTGGCCTCCAGCGAATCTGCACCCACCTGTCCCTGTCTGCAATGGACTGGCTCAGGGCCCTCCGCTTCTGGACCAGTCTTCCCCTCCCACCAGGGACCCACGTGTAGGAGTGAAGCCCGCTTCCACCGGAGGGTCCGAGGGGTGGACGGCAGCCGGCTTTGAGTGGGTTCTGGCCCCAGGTGCTCGTTCAGATCCCATGGGCACGGCATGGTGTCTTTGACCGAGCCCAGCCCCCGACCGCCTCGCTGTACCTGGTCGTATCTTGGCAGTATGTCCTGACAGCCCGGCTCCCTATCCCGCTTGGCTTTGTGAGGAGGGACAGAAGGGACCCGTACCCACTGGCCACCTAGCAACACGCCTCTGGAGAGCGTGGCGAAGGACGAGACCAGGCCATCAGTGTCAGACCCTACCTGTGGGCCTCCAACCCAGATTCTAACATCCCCACTGCTGGGTGGGCGGCCGGGAGTGTCTGGGGCCTTGTTCCTCCCGGGGGTCCATTCTGTGTCTGAATGTTACTGCTGAGACTCTGGAATCTTCTCTAAATCCCAGATCAGGAGGGAAGAAATGTTTCATCTCCTAAAAAGAACTCGTCCCAGGAACTGAGTCTTCTTAGTAAGAACCACGATGGAGTGGAGTCCTGGGGCCAATGACCCAAGCCCACCCTCCCGCTGAGGCTCCGTCCTCGGGGCTCCCGTGGGTCCTTCAGTTCTGCAATCTCGGGCATCTTTGTCTGTCACTCTGGCTTTCTGATGCCTCCTCCTGTCGCTGCCGGTCCCGTTTCACTGTCTGGGACCCCAGATGACAGAGGCAGCCTGAGGTCCCCCTGGGTGACTCCTTTGTTTCTTCTGTAAGTAGTCTTAACGCCTGGTCAAACCTGGGGAGTTTGGTTCCTGCAGTGGACACTTCGGCCCCCCGCCCCGCAGCCGATGAATTTCTGAATTCGATGGATTCTCTGGAGGGTTCAGGCGAAGGCAGGCCACATACCCAGGCTGCCAGAGCCCACGTGCTGGGCTTCCTTATCGCCCCACAGAGAACCTGGGGCCCGCGGACCGCAGCCCACGTCCTTCTTGCTCAGGCCGGCGAGGATGCTCAGGTCAAACCTTGGCAGTGAGCATCTCACCGTTCCCTGTCGTGAGACCACTGTGGGTTCCGCGCCCATCCCGGGCTAGGAACGTGGTCATTCAGGGATGGGCTCCGTTCTGGATTCCGTGCTTCCCGACGCTCCCGGCTCTGGCTGGAGAGCAGGGGGTGTGGCTCCCAGGTGACGGGGGCGACGGGCCCCCGATGATCGTCCTGACCTGCCAAACACACCTACCACTGTGCCTTGCCGTGTCAAGCATTCGGCAGGAGCTCGGGACGCTGGCAAAGGCGGGTGTCCCGAATTTCTTTAAAAAATGTGAGCTTTGACAGTCCTCCAAAAAGCAGGGTGGGAGCCATAATCTAGTCTAAATGTGGCTCAGCCAGACCCCTGCCTTGCTCCTGGAGGCCCCACTTGTGGGTCATACGCGGCAGATCCCACCCCCCCAGCGCCCTGACCCTTGCTGACCTGTCACCTGACTCCATGGGTGGCCAATCACACAGGGACAAGAGCGCTGGGGGGTGTGGCTTGGTCACTCTGCCCCTGCTGGGGGGTGAGACGTCAAGCCCCCACCCTGCAGGGAGACTCATCCTGACAGCAGGCTACCGCTCACCGGCACGGGCACGAAGTCGAGCGGGCCCCAGCGCACTGCCAGCTGCGCCCAAACCAGTCCGCCTTGGCCGGCGGGGTGAAGACGCGAAGAGGCGAGGGCCACCCCTCCCCTCAGCCTCGGCGGTTCTGTCTTCAGGGTAGACTGGCTGCTTCTGCTTAGAGTCAGGTGTGTGGGTGCACAAGACCACTGAGTTGACGAGCATTATGTGCCTGTAAGGCTTCCCTTGGGGAGATCCCCTTGGGGACACTTGGGTCCCCAAGGCCCGGATGGAGGACTATCAGAATTATCGTCACACTCCCTCACTAGGGAGCGTCTCTAGCCCAGGCCCCACCTCACCGCTTGGAAAATAACTAACAGTGGCCACCGCCCACTGTGCCTGGGGCCTGTCCCTGGGGTGTCCCGTGCCTGGGAAGGCCCGGGCATCCGGCCCCAGCTCTCCTCCTGCTCCGGCCCATCTGTCCCCTTCTGACCCGGCGGAGCTGGGACACGAGGGGGCGCTCAGCATCCGGGGAGGTGGGCCCCTGCAGCCTCCCAGAAGCCCTGGGGCCCTTACCGTTAGTGTAGGGGTTCGCAGTCTTCTTGTTGGTCATGACGCGGGCTGTGGCGTTATTGACCTGCCCAGAGAGAAGGGAGGAGAAGGTGAGGGTGTGCAGGGCACTGGGCTCCCTGCAAGCGTCCGGCCACCCCAGTCCTGCTCTGCACCGCTCCTGCACAGCCGCACCGAGGGCCCGGGGGCTAGGAGAAGGCCCGGGACAGCATCCGCGGCCAGCCTGGCCCCACACCCTGGCTGGCCCTCCTCCCAGGCCTCCCCTCCCCACCGTGCTGCCCCCACTCCAGGGAGCCTGGGCCACCACGGCTCCCGGCGCTCGGCTCAGGCACCACGTCCGGCCCACCGGCCCTCGGCTTCCACACGCCGCGCCCGCAGACCAAGCCCCAGCTTCTCTCTCCGGCAACCCGAGGCCACTGGAGAAGCTGGCTGGTGGACTCTCCACAAAGTGCTCTCAGCCCAACTTAGCAGACCGGCCCCCAAGACATTCTGTGCCCTCGGTGGCTGCTGAGGCCTTCCTAGCCATGGGCACCCCTCTTGTCGGGGGGGGGGGGTAACACCCCATTCCCCTGAGGCCGGCGGAGAGTTCCTGATGGGACACGTGTGCCCCTCGAGGGCAAGGCCGACGGGAGAGGGGGCACGCGGGCGCCGAGGGGGTGGGTCCTAACTCCAGGCATCTGAGTCCCTGCAGGGGCCCGACTGGGGTGTAGGGAGGGTGGGGCTCGGCCTCTGTGGAAGGAGACCGAGAATAGGGCAGGTGGTGGAACTCAAGAGAGGAGTCGGGGCCACACTGCCTCCCCATGTCCTGTGTGAGCCCCTGGGCCTGGGGCCGCATTCCCCGGTGCCCACCGGGTGCTGCACCAGAGCCTGGCCGAGGTCGGTGCCTGCAGGGCTGCCGCTTCTGGAACCCCTCGCCCCCCCAGGCCTTGCCGCTTCTCTTCCCACGGACTTTACACTCGCTGCGGACCCCTCCCCTCCCTGGCTACCCCCCGCTGCCCTGCCTGTCCAGGAGCCCAGCTCCCAGGCCGCAGCACTGGCGAGGGGGATGGGCAGCCCACCAGGGAAGGGGTGAGGGGGGCCGAAGGGGACCCGTGGTCTCCTCTCTCTGCCGCTCCTCTGGGCTAGGTCCCTTTCCAGGCCCTGGCAGCTGGGGAGGGGGAGGACAGGGGACAGCTGCTTCTCCCCGGAGGGAGGGGATTAATAGCACCTCCCCACTGGGGGACAGACTGGGTTGGCTGTGGTGCTTAGAGCTGGCCAGCCTCAAACGTGTTGTTCTGGGGGCTCCTCCCAGTGTCTGGCTGACTCCCACAGTTGGGGGGCCTCTTCCAGAAAGCAGAGGGAGGGGGCCCTTGGATGGGCCTGAAGCGTAGGCCCACGAGGGGTGGCAGGAGATGGGCTGGGCTCTGCCCCCCCGCCCCGTCTCCCTGCCCTGGGGACCCTGGCCCGGCTCTCTGCAGGGTGGCCGCGGGGCTGGGGTGGGGGACCTGGGTGACAGTGGCGTTTCTCAAGGGCGCGCCCTGCGCAGCACACTTATCTGAGCACCTCAATTTTCCGTCCCTCTACGATCGTCCCATTCAGCTTCTCCCGGGCTCGGTCAGCATCTGAGCTAGTTTCAAAAGTTACAAACCCAAAACCCTGTGAGCGGAGAAGGACAGACACAGAGAGAAAGGATGAGAGAAAGGAAAAAAAAGGAGGAGTGGGGAGGGGGAGAGAGGGAGGGGGAGAGAGGGAGGGGGGGAGAGAGGGGGAGAGAGAGAGAGAGAGAGAGAGGGACTGAGTCAGGTGAGTTGAAGGAGAGGTCGGCAGCCCAGAGGTCTGTTCTGGTACCACCGGCAGGATGCCCAGGAAGGGTCCGGCCCCAGGCGGGGGCAGCTGCCAGCCTGGCCTGAGCCCGGCCTGAGCTGACAGCCTGGCGCCTCCGAGAGGACAGGCCAAAGCCATGAAAGAGATGCCAACCCGGCCAGGGGCCAGGACTGTGTCGCCCTAATGCCACCTGGGGGGCAAAGCTGGGTTTCAGGACCTCCTGGGGGCAGCCCCACCCCCCATCACCCTAGGAGCCTGGATGGGGGGGGTCTTCTCTTCCCTGAGCAGGGAGCAGGGCCTGTCTTTGCCCCCCCTGCGGCCGTGCCCACCGGCCTCGGGGCCAGCTCGCAGGCAGGCCGGCGGCCCCCTGGCGGGGCGGCTAGGCGGCTGGGGACCCGGGGCTCAGCGGGGGCGCGGACAGAGAGGTCCTGGCAGCTCAGACAGAAAGCATCGCAGCTGCAGCAACGACACAGACAGCGGGGTGGGGGGGCGGGGGGGCGGAGGAGCGGGGAATACAAGCACCCGTGTAGCTCAGGGGTCCTCGGGCTCGAAGCTCTCCAGGAAGGAAACGCACATTTCACACGTTAGCCTGGCGGGACCTACAGCCGGCGCTGTAATGGTGGCGGCCTCTGGGCGGCACCCACCTTGGAGCCCCGCTCGTTAAAAATGATCTCCACGTCTAAAATTTTTCCGAATTGCTGCAGAGACAGAGAGGGGGGCGGGGAGACAAGGGAGGATGGGTTAAGACTGCCGGCCGGCCGGCTCGCCCGCTTCTCAGGAGACCCTCGCCGGCTGCCCGGGTCTGGCCCGAGCCCCCCTCCCCGCCCCCAGCCTCCTGCAGGGAGTAGGAGGGGCTCTAGGTGTAGCATGGTGGGGGGGACAGGAGACGCCTCCTCCCATTCTCACGGAGCGCGCATTCCCTGCCTGAGACCCGCGTGGGGGCCGAGGACCGGGGAAGGGTGCGGCGCGGTTGGAGGCCCTCTCCTCTCCCTGCCGGGACCTGCCCCAAGTTACCGATAGCCACCTCTCCTTCACACTAGAGGGTAAAGGGCTACAGATAGGTCCTTCCCAAAAGCCGACGGGCAGGAGCCCTCAGAAGAGACAAAGTGCTATGGACAGACCTGTGCTGCCAGCGACCTGTGCTGTTTGGGGCCGGGCTGTGTGGGGTGCAGGACAGAACCGATCCCAAACTCTACTTGACTGGGACATACCGGCCAGGCAGGCCCGGATGCTCTGGCTGCCCCCTTCCTGCCCCATCACCGGCCCAGAATCCCCCGGGGCAGCCCTGTCTCTCTCACTGTCGCAGGAGACCACGAACCTGTGAAGGCCAAATCCCCGAGACCAGGTCCCGGGGGGGCCCTTCCGAGGCCTCTGGTATGTGTAGGCGATGGGCTTCCCCTCATCCCACAACACTGGGACTAGGGTGTCAAAGGAGCAGTGATGTGACACGGAAGAGGACAGCAATGCAATCTCAACTCTGACGAAGGCTGGAACAGGGCTGGTGCTGCCTGTCCTCGTGCGGGGACAGGTGGGCTGATGCTGTGGTGAGGGGACAGGGGACAGGCGAGTCGACGCCCTGGAGCGGGGACGAGGACAGGTGGTCTTACGCTCTGGTGAGGGGATGGGCCAGCTGACACCCTGGTGAGGGGACAGGCCAGCTGACACCAGTAGGTGTCCGCTGTATGGGGAAGACAGATGGGAGGTGACCTGGGGACCGAGGTCAGGGCGAGCTTTGTACAGCGGCCGCTTTACCCGGGGACCCCCAGGATCAAAGGGGTTGGCAGCTGCCGGGGCCCAGGCCGAGTGGGGCAGAATCCTGATGATTCCACATCCCAGAGGCCCCTCACTGTGTCTAAGCCCCCAATCCGATGGGGCCTGGCCTCCAAGAAGGGGAGTGGCTGCTCGGGGCCAAGCGTGGGTGCCGGGTCTATCCTGAGTCCCCCCTCACGGCACCTCCCCTTTGACAAATCCCATCTGGGTCGGGGGGGGGGGCATGGCGTGAAGGCGGGGCTGGGGTTCAGAGGCCCGGGGTGGGGGCGGGCACAGTGCTGGCGGCGGGAAAGAGGGTTTGGGGTGAGGGCGGGGGCGCGGGAAGAAACGCGGGCCGGGCCCCCCGGGGTTCCGTGGCTGCGCTGTTTGGGATGGATGGCCTGGCTGGTGCCGGCCCGCTCGCCCACCGGGCAGCCGCACGCAAGTCAGGCGGCCCAACAGAGTCGCCACGAGACCGGAGGCCCGCCCTGCCGGAACCAACTGGGGGAATCCAGAAGGACGGTGGCGCGTGCTTGCTTCCCACGGTTTGAGCATCTGCCCGGAGCCCCGAGGACACGGGCGCAGAGAGGGTGAGTGCTCAGCCCTCGGGCACACAGGAGAGGCAGGGCTGGTCGGCTGCCGGGCCTCGTGGGGCCACGAGGCTGAGCTGCCCCTCCCAGTGCCCTCTGAGGGGTGGTGGTCCCCTCCTGTCAGACCGCGGGGACTGCGGAGTGATAACCTAGCGGGCGCCTGATAACCTTTGGGCCTCGAGGGGCCTCTGAGAAGCGCCGAGGACGGAGGAAGTGGGGGTGGGGGTGGGGCGTGGAGGTGCTGCGTGTCTGGCTGCCACCCCTTCTTTCCACCCTGCAGGCTCAGGTCAGAGCTGGACCCAGGGGACCCCGCGTCGGGAGAGCCGGCGCGGAGGGGCCGCAGGCACTCACCCCGAACATTTGCCGCAGGTCGGGGTCCCTGAACCGGAAGGGGATGTTGGAGACGTGTAGCCGCTTGGGCTGCTGCTTCTCTGTGTGGTCGGAGGAGTGGAGCGGCTGGCTGTCCGTCTGTGCCGCCTCGTCTGTCTGCTGCGGGGAGAGGACCCGGGCTGTGAGGTACCCCTCTCGGCCCCCGTCCTGTCCCGTCCCGTCCCGTCCCGTCCGGAGCGGAGGCTCTGAAGGCCGGACCCTCCAACTCCCTGGGCCTCCCCATCCTGGGGCTGGGGGCCACAGGGGGGCCGGGCAGGCGGTTCTCACTAGGTGCGGCCCAGCGGCACCTTAACCTCCGAGGCCCCCCCTCCAGGCCTCCGCACGTGGCTGTGCCCGACACCACAGACGCCAACGTGGGGCCGGCGACCCTGGCCGGGTGCGCCGTCACCGCCTGGCTCAGCCCTGAGCACACAGGTCTGACCTTAGCGGTCCCTCGGCTGCACCGACTATCCTGACCCTCAAAGTCAAGGGTTCTCCCTTACCCCACACAACCCAAGTTCTGGGAGCACGGGGGCCTTTTTGGCTTCCTAGGCCTGATGAGAAGCCGGGGAGATGTCAGAGCCCGCCCCCAGGCACGCATGCCTGCGAGGTGCTGCCCCTCATCCTAGCCCCCGTGCTGTGCAGCACCCAGACCCTCCGCAGGGACAGGCCACCAGCACACCAGCAGGCCGGCCCCCAGCCTGGTTCCGTCCCTGCTGAAGCATGGTGCCGACGGCATGCGGCCTGGGCTCCATCGACGTGTGCCCGGTGGGCGAGCAGGTGACCGACCCGAGTCTCACTGTGGCTCAGCTCACTGGTGAGGCAAGTGGGAGTGTCCAGGGGCAGCTATCAGCCAGCGACAGACACGGTGGGTGGCACCCACCCCGGGGGCTCCACTGTGTCCCCAGGTGCCCCGCAGGGATGCCAAGGCTTTCTTGGGGTCGCGTCCCCGGCACTCTGCGTGGCCTTGCGTCCTTGTCCGGGGTCTGCGCCTCGGACGGGACCTTGGCTGGAGGCACGAGGGGCGCCCTGAGCTTCTCTCTGCCCGGAGGGAGCGCAGGGGGAGGGTCCCCCGAGGCCCAGGCTGGACTTCGCAAGAGTGGAGGTGCTGGTGGCCGCGGCCTCGCTCACGGCTGGAGGAGCACAGACAGCTGAGCAGCGGCGACGGTCGGGGTGCAGAGAGCCCAGGGAGAGACGCCCAGACACCGCTTCCCACGGGCCTCCGAGAACTGCCGCTTCGCTGGTTTCCTTTCTGCCGGGTTTCCTTGCTGGCAATCGAGGGGGCGCTGGCCGCTACCACAGGCCTCCCAGAGTTCGGACAGGTGAGCAGGGGGAGGCCCTGTGCCCGAGGCTTCCTCCCGGCTGAGGAAACACAGCCTGAGAGTCAGAGCCTCGTCCAAGGCGACGGCTAGTGGCCAGAGGTCTGTCTGTGGGCTCCTGAGTGGCTGCCCTCAATGGCCAACCGTTCATCCTTTCTGGAAGGAGGGGGCCGCTGCCCTGCTTCGGCACTCGGCCAGGAGGCCTCTGGCCAGGCGCCAGGGTGCCACAGGCGAGGGGGGTGGACGTCATCAGCTCCGGGGCCGCTGGTCCCTCGCACTCGGGTCTGCAGCACACGGTGTGCGATCCCAGGTGTGGTTTGAAGCCACCGTCCTCCTGTTCACCTGGGGACGTGTGTGACCCAGGGAGGCCATCCCACGAGCGGTGGGCCCCATTCTGCTGAGAGTGTGTTCTCTGAGCCCTCCTATCGGGCTGGCAAGAGTGACGTGTGTCCGAGGGTGGGGCTGTAGGTGATGGCGGCGCCTGGGCCCGGGGGCCACCAAGCAGCCCCAGGAGCCAGTCTGCTGAGGCATCCGGATGGGGGGGTGGGTGGCAGGTCTGCGGGAGCAACGTCTGGCAGCTGCCTTTGGGCACCTGGGGGGTGCTGGGGGGCACCCGGGGGCTCCTCCTGCCCAGCTAGGGACCTGCAAATGCCCAACAGTCCGGCCCGCCCCCCCCCCCCCAGTTGTCTTCCTCCCTTGGTCCCACTCTGCTGTACAGAGAGCAAGCCTGTGCTAGTCCTCCAGAGGCTCGTGGGTGCCCCTGAATCAGAGCAGGGCCGGCCGTGTATCTGCTGACTCTCCTGCTTTCTGGTTACGACAAAATGTGGCTTTTTCCGTGCACTGGTCAGGGTGGGCCCAGCGCCCTCTGTCACTCCAGCCCCACCCAGTGCATTTCACACAGCTGTGCCCTCAGTTGCTCCTGGGTACGGGTGACTAACGGAATCCCCCTAAATTTGGGGATTCGGCCAGGGAGGGGCATGTAATGCCGGCTTGGGACCAGCAGAGGGCAGCGGTCAGCTTAGCCAGCTCGCACCCAAAGGAGTGTGGGGGGGGGGTGCGGGGAGCCCTGGGCACACAGTGGAGGGGCGCGGGAGGGCGCTGACGAAGTGAGGCGCCTGCGGCCTTCCTGGACTGTCTCTACCCTGGGCCTGTCCTCATAGCAGGGCTGAGCCCACTGTGAGCCTCCACGGTCCGGGGGCCTCCTCCGGGCCTCACCGTAGAGGCCTTTAAGGGGAGCCAGCTGAGGGCCAGGAGGGGGAATGGGGCGTCGAGGGGGTCATGTGGGATGAATCGTGAGTGGGGCCAGGGCACAAGCAAGAAAGGAGCCCCCTCACCCGAGCGCAGCTACACGCAGAGGCAGGTGAACGGGTTCAGTGGCTGTAAGAAGGTAAGATGGGCGAGTGTCCCCGGCGGGGAGGGGGATGCGGTGGGGGGTGGGCCGGGCTGTGCTGCCTTTCCCTGGGACTCCCCATTTCTTTCCTGTCTCTTTTATTTTTTTTTAAATTTTTTTTCAACGTTTATTTATTTTTGGGACAGAGAGAGACAGAGCATGAACGGGCGAGGGGCAGAGAGAGAGGGAGACACAGAATCGGAAACAGGCTCCAGGCTCGGAGCCATCAGCCCAGAGCCCGACGCGGGGCTCGAACTCCCGGACCGCGAGATCGTGACCTGGCTGAAGTCGGACGCCCAACCGACTGCGCCACCCAGGCGCCCCTCCTGTCTCTTTTAAAGCAATCTTTGGCCCCAGGGCTCCAAGGCAGGGAAGAATGAAGCAACAGTGACCACCTCCCCACCGGCCTCCCTCCTGCCCCGTCTGGCCACAGTGTCCTTGTCCTTCTCCGTGTCACCTTAGCCATCACTCAAGGCCAGGAGCTGACCCCTGGTGGGTTAGAGGCAGGGTCCACATGCCACCCAGGGCACCTCCATCCCCAGAGCCTGCAGCCCCTTCACCTGGGGCTACCAGAGGTAACTCAGCACAGCGAGAGGCCTAGAGAGAGGGGGCCAGTGGCCTGGCAGGCACTCAGGCAGCAGGCAAGGACCCGGCGGGCCCGCTGGGTGGCGAGCTGGCCTGGGAGGAGGCATCCTCCACGGGTGGGTAGCCTCAAGCCATCTGTTTGCGACGTCTTCTTTGTCGTAAGGGGCAGCCCCGTCCTTGGCAGAGCCGTGCGCTCCCACTGCGGACTCTGAGCCACCGAACGTTCTAAGCTCTCTGCCGGCCACTGCACCTGTTGCACTGATGCTGACGGATGGCCTTGTCTGTCGGCACCCTGCCAGCGTGGTGGCGGCACGTGGCTGAGTCTCCCCGGGCTGGGGGGGACCGGGGGGGGGGATACATCTGCGCTCGTCCCCTCTGCGCTGCGACCAAAGTCCACCCTTTCCCTTTTGCTTAAAGCTCCAGGAGCGAAGCACGCAGGGGACCGAAGGCCACAGCTCCTGCTAGCATGGCACCTGCTGGCTGGGGAGGACAGAGAGGAGGCTGTGGTGAGCGGAGGACCCCGCCCACAAGGATGGGATGTGTGACCCAGCACGGAGGTGTTCAGGCTTCAGCTGGGAGCTCTGGGCAGCTTCTCTGGAAAGAAGAAGGTGGCTAGTGGAATCTCAGAGCAAGATCTCCTCTCCTCCCAAGGTGGGCAGCCTCTGCCTGTGGAGACACTCCAGGGGCTGAGTGCTCCTGGCCTCCAGTGGTGGCCCAGCTCTTTGCCTGGGTGTCTTCAGGTCCTCTGCAGGGCTCAGGTGGCCCCGGGGCATGATGAGTCCCGGTCGCTCCTCCTCCGTATCCCTGGACGGAAGACCTACGGACCCTGACTCCCTTGCAGGGACTTGGAGAGACCCGAGCCGACGGAAGGAAGGTCAAGGCTCCCCATTCACCAGGCCCGGGCGCTCTCCTTGGGAGGCTCTCGGCCTGGGAAGTGAGATGCTCACCTCTCGGCACGAATCCTTTCTGGGACTCCTGAGTCCCTTCCACGACCCATACTCTGTCCCATGACTGGCCCCCTGTTGACTTTTACGTCCTTGACTCGTGGGAGCCGGTGGCCACCGCGGGGCAGGGTGGTCATTTCTTCCGTGTGCCCCCACTGCTGGCTCAGTGCGCGCCCCCGACAACCATCTGCCCAGTGAAGGAAGACTTCATGCTTTCCCCCATTAGGCCTCATCTGGTGATGCAGGGTGTCAAGCGGGCCCCCTGGCTGGTGTCTGCCGTGCAGGTTTGCATGGTCGGCCCCCCACTCCGAGGCATCTGCCCATTTGGCCATCCTGTCTCCTGTGCTTGCTCCCAGGGCAGATTCCTGGGCCTCAGTGTCTGCTCACGAGGAGGTCACATCGCGGGAGGTTTGGCCAGATACATGCTTTCCCATCAGAACGGGCCCATCTGCCAGCACTGACAGTGCACAGAAAGGCCCCTCTGGCTCTGGTGTGAGCACACCCCCTCATGGGTTTCAGGAAGCAGAAGCAGACAGAGCGGCCCCAGAAGCACGTGTCAGGTCCGGGTTCCAGGACCCGCGGGTGTCGCCTTTTCCCGCTGTAGGAACCCTGGGGGGGCGTCCATGGGACGCAGCGACGCGGGGAGTGGTCAAGTTGACTCAGGCTGGTGGCAGTCCGCACGGGGAGGAGGGGCAGCGGCTGGGCCCCAGACGAGGGTCGGGGCCAGCCCAGCGGGCAGGTGCGCCCACACAGGGAAGGTGGGTAGTATCTGGATCCACACAGTGCCCCCATACCACCGGCAGCCAGGCTGGAGCAGGGGGAGGGCTGAGGGAGCGCAGGGCAGGGGCGCCCATCGGGACGCTGCGAGGGCGGGGCCCCTCCCAGGCGGCACAGGGCATGCTGGCCTCCTGCCCAACCCCTACCAGCCATCGCTGGGAGGGAGCCAGCAGGGACAGCCGGATGCCCCCAACGCCCTGGGGCGGGCAGGGGCGGGCGCCTGGAGGAGGCACTTGGGAGGGCCGGGGAAGGGCTGGAGCAGGCGGGGTTCATTCAGGCTGGTCCCCGGGAGGGGGCTGCCCTCGTGGGACGCCCACCCCCCCAGGCCGGCCGCTCGCTCCCGGCCACAATCCTTCGCTGTCAGGGAATGTCTGAGAAGCGGCCGGCTCAGCACTTTCTCCTCGGAGCCGCATTACGACCACATAATCAAGGCTCTCTGATTGGAGGGCAGCCGGACGGGTAGATTACGAGCGATTAGAAATGATCGCCGAGCCCGCAACCCGAGACACGCGAGGGGCCCCAGGCCTCCTCTCCCGCCGCCCCGTCCCCGCCTGCGCAGACACCCGGGCCCGGGCCTCGGCCGGCCGCGGGGTCACTGCCCACCCACGGTGCCTGGCCCTTGGTGTGACAGAGACCCTCGGTGTCCGAGGCTGAAAGCCCCTTCCCTGGGGGGCAAGGACCTGGCTCCCCACCACGAGGCCTCTCCCGGCCCCTGACCTGCTGGCCCGCACGGCCCTGCCGAGCCTCCCCTCTGGGTGGGTGTGCCCCCCCCTTCCCCGAGGCTCCGGGCTCCAGGGGCCCCCTTACCGGCACAGTCTGGGCCCCAGCGATGGGCTGCGTGCTGGCCTCGGGGCCCGGCTGCTCGGGGTGGGTCTGTGCTGGTGTGTACAGGGTCATGCCGTGCTCCGGGGGGACCGGGGTCTGGCCCGAGTACTCCTGCGTGGGGTGCGGAGGGGGTGGCGCGTACTCGGCGGGGATGCCGTTCTGTGGCGGAGGGGGGTACTGGGCGGGGGGGTAGGGCTGGGCCATCGCTTCAGGCGGAGCCGTGGCGTCCTGATTGCCCTGTGGGGGGAAAGAGAGTGGCTGGTTAGACCGTTGGCGGGCCCCGTCCCTGCCCACCTTCCTTGTGAGAGTTCACGGGCTGAACGGGGGCGGAGGGGGGCGGGTTCCAGAAGCTCCCGTGGCCCCTCAGCATTGCCCAGGCCCCCTGGGTGGTGGACTCCCCGACACGGGGCTCCAGATCTGAGCCATTAGAGGAGACTGCCGGGGCGGCAGGTGTCTGGGGAGCTTAGGGCTCGAGACCACTCATGCACACACTTGTCGTTGTCAGACCTGAGGCCACTAAAGTCACAGGAAACCGTAGGAAAGGACCCCATGCGACGTCGTGCACCCTGTACCCAGCCATCAGCCAGCGGTGACCTCTCATGACGCCATCCCACCAGGAGACACTGATCCAGACAAGACAAGAACTCTCTCTCGTTACCCTTAGCGCCACACCCACACCCTCCTCCCCGACGAAGTCTTTCAGCCTTGATTTTCCCATTGGTAAAGGAGGTGAAGGAGAACCTCTGCCCAGAAGGTGATCAGAGTTGATCCCACAGAACTCGGAGTCCGCACCACACGGCCCCCCCCCCGATGGCCCTGATGGTGAGGTGTGGTCTGTGGGGCACGGAAGGTTCTGGCTCTGTCTTGACGACAACCCCTGAGCACATCTCCACCCCACCCCACCCTTGCAGGGCTGCCGACCTAGGCCCCAGGCCCTGGGCAGGATCCCAGCAGAGCAGAGGGGTCTTCAAATGGGGAGCCTGGACCCAGCAGCATCACCTGGGATCTTATCAGCAGTGCAAGGTCTCGCCCTCACCCCAGACCTCCCGCTGCAACCTGGGCACCCGTGGGAGCCCCTGATGTGGCCCTGGGAGGAAGGGGCCCAGAGAAGGGACTGGGGTCCTCAGGCTGTCAGAGGGGAGGTGGTGGGGAGGGCGGGCTTTCAGCAGCCCCTCTGAGCAGGCGAGGCACTCTCTGGCCTTCTGACGGTGTCCCCAGGGGAGAGAATGCCATCTCTGAGAATCCCGCCCGCCGGCGCGGAAGGACCCCTGCACAGACTTACGGTGCTTTCCTGATGTCTCCCTGGGGAGGAGCCCCGTGCACTCCCATGTTGCCCCTGTCACGCCGACCGACCGTGGCGGGTTTCGAGGCTTGTTTCCTTGTCCACCCCTCCCCCTGTATGAGAAGGGTGCTCCTCTGCCCCGTCCTTCATCAGTTATACTCATTCACCCATGACTGTGGGGGCGCCAGGCCCAGGGCCCGTGGCGGAGAGTCAGGCGAGATGGGCAGCCCGGCCCGTGCAGACTGCAATCCGGAGCGGGGGTAAATTCGGACAATTACCCAGAGCGTGAGGTGCCCTGGCCTCAGGAGGGTGTTGACGAACGCGCGAACGCCCCGGGCTGGGTGTTCTGTCTTCCGGCCGGGGCTCTGTCCACCTGCCCACCTCCCTGCTAGTGGGGGGCTGGGGGCCCACTCTCTGCCAGCACCCCCCACCCAGTGCCAGCCTCCCTTCTCAGCGCCCACTACCCCTAACTCCTGGGGTGACCCTGCTGAGTGCTGGCCTAAGGAGCCGAAAATCCTGTCCTTCTCCTCCTCCTGTGCAAAGCTGCCGGGTCCCACCTCTGTCTGCAGAGACTGAAGCCCGGGCAGTGTCGGAGTTCCAGAGAGCAGGAGGGGAACACGCGTGTGCATGCACACACGTACACTTGTGAGTGCACGCCCTTCGCTGGACATCCCCCCTCACCGCTCCAAAGTAGCCCGTGAGGTCCCACTACCTGCTGTGAGCAGATGTGCTGGCGGGGGAGGGGGTGGGCTCAGGGTGGGGAAGGGTCAGGTGAGGGGAGGTGGAGGGTTGGAGGAGGCCAGGGAGGGTTGGAGGCCAGGGCAAGGGGTGAGGGGAGCGGGAGGGGGCAGGAGGAAGAGGAGATGGCCAGGGTAAGGGGGAGGGCACTGTCAGAAGCCTCCAGAGATCAATTAACTGATAAATATTTGATCAGAACCTTCACTAACATCTTCCCAGTGTCCCCGCTTCCCTACCTCCTCCAAGGCCCGGGAAGGAGGGGCTCTTCTCCCCTCCGTGCCTTCTCACCCCACCCCCACCTCTCCCCAGCGCCCTCTTCCCTGGGTCCCCTTGGGACTGAGTGACAGCAGGCGCCCCGTCGTTCCCCCCCCCCCCGCCCCGCCCCCGCCCCGCACTGCAGTGGCTCCCTGGGCTGGACACAAAGGCGGGACACCAGGCAGCATGTTTGTGGTTACTGAGTGCCGGGGTCCGGAGGCGTCTGGGTGGGCAGGAGGTGGCATTTGGGCCATTTAGCACAGGACAATAAATCAGCACGTCTGAGAACATGGTGCTCTCTGCTTTGCAGACATTAACTCACTTAATCCCCCTCCAACCCACAAGGCGAACAGCGCTCCCCATTTCCCAGCCGATAAAACTGAGGCACAAGGGCTAAGTGACTGGTCAGGTTGCCATGGCAGGAGCTGGGAAGGCAGCGCAGGCTGCCCGGCCCTCAAACCTATGCCTCTGCCCCTCCACGCACAACTGTGGCCCTTCACTTGGGTGTCTCTGCCGGGGGGGGGGGGTGAGGTTTTACAGCTGAGTGACAGAGTTCAGAGCCTGGGCTACACAGGCAGGGCTCCCTCTTAGCCCCTGGGTGGCCCTGGGTGACCATCCATCCTCTTTGACAAGTTCCCTCAATCTGCAAGAGGTCGTCACGGTGCCTGGACAGAGGAAGTGCAGCATAAAGGCTGGCGACTGTGACTTGGGGGGTCTTGGGGAGATCCTCACCAGCCCTGCCTTGTGTTTCCCCCACACCCGCGCTGGAGGTGGTTGTGGTCAAGCGAGTGGCTCTCACCCTGGCTGCACACCCCACGCCTGGACTCCTCCCCAGGGCGTCTGAGTCAATTTACATCCAAACTTGCCCAGGAGGTGCTGATGTGCAGCTCGGGTTGAGGGCCCTCGGGCCGGGCTTGATGGGAAAGCAGGGGGTACCAGGTGCACCCTGGGGGCGTGTCAACACCTGACCCAGAGAGGGCAGCATGGCCAGTGTCACCACGTTCTTTTTCTTCCTTCTTTCTTGGTCTGCTGGGGCCAGAGTCAAGGAGAGGCTTGGCTCTGAGGCATGAGCCGAGCAGAGTCCTCCTGCTGGGCTGGGGGCTCGTCTCAGCCGGCGGCATTTCAGAGCAGCCTGTGAACATGTCTGGCTCCCCAGGGGACTGGAAATTCTCAGAGCACGAGGGCAACTCACTCATTCTCTGCTCCCGCGTCCCTGCACTCAGCACAGCACTTCACCGCACTCGGAAGAGTCTCAGTGCACATCGGCTGGGTGGGCGGGTGGATGGATGGATGGGTGGATGGAGGGATGGTGGATGCAGGGATGAATGGACGGACCAATGGACAAATAGGTAGATGAATGGACGGATGGATAGGTGAATAGTTGGATGAGTGGACAGAAGGATGGAAAGATGGATGGATGGACGGAGGATAGGATGGGTGGATAAATGGATGGGTGGAAGATGGA